TTCCTCGGCCAAAAGAATCATAAAATATTTTTACAAGTAAGGAGATTTTTTTATGATATGATAAAGGAAAAACACATCAGTAAACCTAAAAATTAACAGCAAAAGTTTCTCTTTGCACTAAGACTGCACTTGGAAAACATCAGTCCTAGGAAATGCTGTTTCAGAAACTTATGAGCCACTGAGTGAGACAAAGCATTAAAATGAAAACTACTTTATAGTTAAGTGTGAAAATTGCACTAAAGAATAAGTAGCTCTGGGAGGGGGGCAGGTAGAGGTCTGTGGTAGAATGTATGCTTAGCATGCACAAGGTCCTGGGTTCAATTCCCAGGACCTCCACTGACAAAAAAAGAAACAGAAAAAGAATAATTAGTCCAGTAAGGTAAGCACCCAGTGGGCCGCCACTCTATGTGGAGAATTTCTGACACATCTCCCCTTTTCCCATCCTCAGCAGAGTCATGGTTCCTTCTCTTTCTCTTTTACAAAACTTATTACAAATGCTTCTGTTTGTGAATCCTTGCTTTCCTTTGGGAATAAAATTAGGAGAAAGTTTGGGTGAGAGGAATGAGGAGCATTTTGAATAGTTAATAACATTCATCTGGGCTGCAAGGAAAAATACAGACCCAACAAGTTCCAGAAATATTGGTGTTTCAAGAAATTTGCACCTGGAATGAAAACGAGGCAGCAAGAGGTGGTTCTTCCAAGGCCAGTGCACTCTGGTTGTTTGGGACCATGGCCACGGTGATGAACTCGGTGATGACTATTGGAGCTGTAACATACTCAAACAGATACGTGCTTTGTGCTTATCTGAATGACTGAAGGCAATGACAAAAGTCATGCAAAGTGCAACCCTAAAGAGACATCATGTGAGTAGAACTTGAAAAAAATGTCTGGTGCCTAGAATTCTGTACCTGGTTCTGTAGCGAATAACAAGACTGGGCAGAAGAATCACTTGGAAATGTGTTTAAAAGGCGGGTTCCAAGATCTTTTCACCAGACACTCTGTTCTGGGACCCCAAGATGATTTTGATGATCGTAGCCAAGACACACATTTTGACAATGACCCCTCTGAAGGAGGATTTCTAAGAGGCAGTTAGAAAGGACACAGGACAAACAATTGAACCCATTGTTTCCACAGCAACAAGATTTGGACAGCTTGGTCACAGATGTTGACATTTCACGTAATTAAAACTTTTTAAAGCAAAATACAGTGATTAGTCCAGGGGGCTGGGGAGGTAGGCAGAGGGTAAATAAAAGAATAATTTTATTTTTTAATGGACAACAGCATAAAGATTGTAATAGTCACTAGTTAGATAACAAAAATTACACTGGAAATAAATTGAAACATATATTAATTTACTTTTCACTACTCGGTTGTAGAATTTGTGGTTAGATCATTTTAGTTATTTTTAATTTATTCAAATAGTTAACCTGTGTTTTCTGTGACATCTTCTGACACTGTAACTCCTTTCATGGTTTCAACTGAAACTTTAGAGAGGAAAGCACCCAGCTCGGCTAGTCCTAATGTGTTCTCATTTTTAACGGCTCTGCACTGCGAAGTTCCTAACACTTACAGTTACAATGTGTGTGTCTGTCAGTCTGTACACACACATGTACAAATGTTCTTTAAACGCAAATAATCAGTTACTTTAGTGGAAATTTTAATCACCTTTAAATTTTTTTATTATAAAAGAACAAATATGTTCAGTTCAACTGGATGCTGTGGGCATGAGGATATTCTGAATGAACAAAAGATGAAAAGTATCCTTACTCTCTTTTCTCTTGGCCACAGAATTCATAAGCTGTACTTTTGTCCCGACTTTTAAAATGTCCCTTCTTTTCTGTGAGTAGCTCACACACTGTTGACGTAGTCAATAGTCGTGTGAGGGACTCTTGGGTTACAAACCAGATGGATTGGCTTATCAGTTAGGTAACAGGTAGGTGGTAGAAGATAGACAGATAGAATACGTAGAGATAGACTAAGTGGGCCACCCTACGTCTCTTCTCAAGATATTTCATTTCTCGATTTTTATATAGGTTCATTAAAAATAAAAGATCAGGGCATATTACTCAGATTTTCCCATGCAAGAGCTCTGCTTTTTCTTTCTTTGCCATATAAACCATGGACCCAAGACTTGGGGCCATGGTTTCTCAGAAGAAATAAATCATAAGCATAATCTGTTAGTATTTTTTATCCTGAACCTCAAACTGTACGTCACTTCCTTTCTCTCTTGTTTAGCTGGGCGTAGACAAAAATCCACAAGGACTTTTGGGTAAAGGACTTAGAGAATATCATTGGTGGTGTCCTTTTTTTTTTTTACTTGTCTGCTGGTGATTTGGTCTAAGAGACTGCCTTGTGGTGCGAGTTTTGTGAGATCCATAAGGCTGCAGGACCACGGCTTTCCCTTCATTGTAACTGCTTTCATTTGCAGAAGAGCTCATGTAAAGAGGCTGCTCCTGCTTTGCATAAGCATGTTGATTTATATGAATGCTATTTTGATCTCAAATTGATTGAATACTAAAAAGAAAGGCTCGGAAAAAAAGCACTGTATTATGAAGGTCTCCTGTCAAAGACAAAAGACACTAGACCCCACCTACATTCCCGGTTACTCGTGGGGAATTCTGTATTGTCTGGTTTTTAGGAGAGAATATTTCTAAGGAAATACAGCAAGACATTATATTATTGAGACTCAAGTGTTTTAGATTACCATGGATTAAGTTGAATTTTGGAAATAGGACTCCACCCAGTAAAAGCTCATGTAATGCAGAAAAGCATGAGGTTCAGTCGTGTCTGCCAACACCAGCATTAAAAAGCCTTGCTAGTATTTGGTGCTTAGTAATTAACTGGCAACTTGCTAATTTTTATTTTATCACACCTAGTTGCACTTTCCTCCTTGTTTCCTTCTCCATCCATTGTGGCCCCCACTAAAATTCTATGTGCCCTTAAATCACCAAAGCCCTACTCATGGCAAAGCATTTGATATCAATTTGTGTACCTTATTTTGTATCCCTTTCTCAAGAATATTTCCTTTTCAGACTTTGTCATTCACTGTGTGATCAAAAATGTCCCCCTACTCCCCCTGAAAAGATACTTGCAGTAAAAGAAGTTAGTCTGGAGCAGACTGAGGGGTCCAGGACTCTTTCACATCAGCCCTGAAATCTGGCCTCTTCACCAGTCACCCCCTGCAGCTCCCCGTACCCTGTTGTAAGATTGGCCTTGGCCATTTCAGAAGAGATGCTAAAAGCAGCCTCAGTTCTGTTCTGCCCTGGACGCTGGTTTCCAGGGAGCCTGGCTCACCCATTGTTAAGACAGTTTCTTGCTCCTTGCTTCCCTGTGCCTATCAAAGTAAACCTCCATCACTTGAGACGACCTGGCCATGTCTATTTACTCTCGCAAGCTAAGAGACTTTACCTAATCCAGAACTGCAGGTAATTGTCTACACACGAGTCATTTAATATTCATGATCCTGAGTCTCTTATTTTTTATCCATATGGATGACACAAGAATCAAAAGCACAGTTTACTGGAAAGAGCAATGGAAGAGTTCACTGGTGAGCAGAATTCCAGTTTCAGCTTTTGTGACTCCTGTCACCTTGGACAAGAGAGTGACATTTCAGAGCTTCAACTTCCTCATCTGTAAAAGGGGCTGATAATACCTTCTTCAGCCACCCCACAAGGTGGTGATGTGAGGACTAAGTCAGCTAACATGTGTTAAAGTGCTTTGTAAAGTACAGAATTTATACAAATGTGAGTGATTATTATGCAAACGATGAGAGAAATGTATCAGAGCTCTAAAAAGAGCAGTTTCTGCTATGTAAGTAGGTTAGTTACTTCTTTTTAGGATGAGGCATGTATGTCAATTATTTCTCAATAAAACTGAAAAAAAAAGGTGGGGGATGCTTCTGGCAATCTTATCAGCAAGAGGCTGGAGATTGGCATTTGACAGCAATCCAAGAGCAATTCAACATCAGAAATTTTACTTTTACAAAGAAATCTACCCCAAAAGAAGTATGGAAACACTGATAGGAGTTGGTCTAACTACTGAAAATCTCTGTAATATTTATTTATAAAAATGAATATATTAATATTTATATATAAATATTGTATATACTATATATTGTGTATATTATAATATTATATATATACACACACACACAAAGACACTAAGCGAGGAGAAAATTTCTGGAAGTTGGACTCACACGGCACGAAAGCTTAGTAAGGAGGACTCCCACTCCTAAACACGCAGACAGTCTGCTTGGATTGCCATTTAGATCTATCATCCTGATTGATCACTGTGTAGCTGGCTGTTATTGGGTCTAATTTAACCCTATACACTCACACATCCATCTCCTCTGTCTATTGTACCTGACACCCTACAAATTACTTACTCATGCAAATGATGACCTAAGGCAACCTTTTAGGATATTCGCGTTTAATTATACAAATGATTCTTGATAAATAAGATTATACATCCTTCCATATGTTTATTCCCTCCTTAATGAAAGGAAAATTTAATTTTCATGCAGATTTGATGGGGACAGGGTTTAAGAATTGCTGAGTTTTATGGAGTTTGCAGATCCATGCAGTTTGCAGAAGTTGACAGAATCGCTCGGTGCCCAGCACAGAGACGAGCAGTTTTCCATTAGGCTTTAATCAGCCCAGCCTGTCGCGAAGCTGGGGCTCCAGTCAGCCTCCTCAGTGGTCAGGTGGTCAAAGGCAAGGAAGAGGAAGGACCTGCCCTCCTTTGTGATCACAAAGTTGCAAGACCAGGAGGGAGGGTATAGCTCAATGGTAGACCGTATGCTTAGCACACACGAGGTCCTGGGTTCAATCCCCAGCACCTCTGTTAAAAATAAATAAATAAACAATTAAACCTAATTACCCGCCCCCACCAAAAAAACAAAGTTGTAAGACCAGCTTGTGCTTGGCAGCTCTGAGTTGGCAACTTGTTTGCAGCCTGAGGTTATCTTGCTTTTGACTGGTCTCATTCATTTCTCTTTGAAGGTCTGGGCTGTGAATTCAGCAGGAAAAGCCCCCAGTCGCTGGACGCGGTGTAGAACCGGGCCTGCCCCACCAGAAGGTCTCAGGGCCCCCAAGTTCCATGCCGTCTCTTCCACCCACGCAGTGGTCGACATCAGTGCCCCCCGGAAGCCCAACGGGATCGTCAGTCTCTACAGACTGTTCTCCAGCAACACCAGCGGGGCCCCGACGGTGGTGAGTAGCAGTACTCTGACCGGTTTATTTTTTAAAAAATAATAATATACCTTGATGCCCTTGCTCTTTCTTCCCCTTGCTCCTTCTTTCTTATCCATCTGTTCTCAATTGCCCTGTGGTGCCATGAGAAGCACAAAGATCCTTCTGTGAAAAAATAGCATTGGGAAACATCCAGAAGATACGTCAATGCTCAGGGAAGGAAGGGCTAAAGGCGTGATTAAAGACTCTGCAAATCACGTAAGATACCTAAGACTTTAGAGATCATCAAAGTAAGTGAATTAACTTAATTAGAAAACACATGTCAAGCACTTGACATAGTCATGGCTTATATTAAGGAGCCAACAAATAGTCTTCGGTGGTGGCGTAAATGCTAACATGAAAAAGGAAAAGAGCACAGGAAGGCTACCCTCAGAATCCCCATTTTGGCATGAGCAACTCTCTGATAATACACTGAAAACTCAGTCTTTGATGACTTTGAGAAAGTTCCAGCTCTTTGGAAGAGACAGCAGAACAGCTCACTGTCTGTGTGGTAATACATTTGGGGCACGTGGAGGAGACAAAATGGACTGTGGGGGAAAATCGTCTTTTGATTTTGGACAAGCCATTGGCTGGAAGGGACACTCATAATCAGCCAGACCAGTTCCTGCATAATTTAAATGAAGAGACGACGAACCAGTGGGATGAAGTCTCTTTTCTCTACAGGACACCTTGTGTCACTCTCACGTTTCTCATGAATAAGTATAGATTATAATACTTTGTTCCCACAAACCTCATAGAGAAACTTCGCAGATCCCAGTATTACATTATAAATTATTTAGACCAATTTAGGGAGCAATTTTGGCAAGTGTGGAGAACTCCTCTGAGGCCAGTGAGCCAGGTATTGAAATACAATTTCAAAAGATAACTCATATGCAAGGAAGTCTTGTATTGAATGTTAAAGAAATATTAGCATATTTTCTACAAGGCTTTGTAGTCAATAAATATAGATGATGTAAATACAATCAACCCTTGATTATCCACACTTATAAAATGGTAATATTAATAAACTAAAATAATTTATATTTGGAGTACACTGTACGCATTTTTTTAAACAGCAAGTAACTGTTCTTAATTATACATCGCTTATGTCAATGTGAAAATTAGTTTCCCAGTTTCTGAGCTCTTCTGTTTCCAAGAGCACTTAATGAAACCACAATAAGTTAAAAAAAAATTTGCTCCAAATCAAAAAGTTTATAATACAACAAAGGTAATTGAAGAAAAATACTATATTTCATGCAAATCAATACCCTTGGATGGAGACATGAACTTTCAAACTCTCAAATATATATAAATATATAAAGCATATATTTCAAGTTCTTAAATACTCAATTCTAAGATTTGGGAAGATTAGAGGGGATTTTTGACCCCAAAATTAGATGCCAGTAACACTGGGAGAATAAGGACCTCAGTGAGTGTTGACTTAGAAATGTAATTTACAGGTAGATTTTGTTTTCCAAAAAGAGCATCCTTCTGAGGGTCACAGAATTTGGTCAATATTTGATTATTTTGTGAGTTTTGCACCATTTTCTAATGTCTTTCTATGGTAATGGACAATGTTGTGCCTTGTGACTTCTCTCATGTTACCCCAAACTTCCATCCAACTTTTATTTCATTGCCTTTTTTGCACATTGAAGCCATGCCTCTCCAGCTGGCTGGGTCACTCCTGAGGGGAAGAACTGTGCTAGAGGCCGCAGTGCAGCTCCCAGAGTGACCGGGGTGGGACCCTATTCACAGAAGGTGTGATCCTTGGTAGAAGTGAATCAGCTGCTGTGATTTGTGACACAGCCGCATCCCGACTCCTCTCTCCTCCTGCAGCTGTCTGAAGGCACGGCCACCCAGCAGACTCTTCACGGCCTGCAGCCCTTCACGACGTACTCCATCGGGGTGGAGGCCTGCACCTGCTTCAACTGTTGCAGCAAAGGGCCAACAGCCGAGCTGAGAACGCCTCCGGCTCCGCCTGCAGGACTGTCCTCTCCCCAGATCCAGATGCTGGCCTCGAGAACAGCTTCCTTCCAGTGGAGTCCCCCCCAGTTCCCCAACGGTGTTATTCACAGGTAGCGTGGGGAAGCCAGAAGGACAAATAAACCACAGTAAGACATGCAGAGAGACATGCAAATACCCACACTCCCCCAGGGGGTCTTCCGTACTGAACAGCCACCTATAGCAAAACAGACCAAAAAAATTGATCTGAGTGGTAACGTTCCCTGCAAAGTATTTCAATCATAAAATCAGCTAATGATAGAAATGTGAACTATCTTTAAATAAGAAAGACGATGCAATGTGCTTCCATTCCCAGAAAGGCTCTGCCCCTCACTGGCACGTTTCATCCTACAGGGCACAGCTGCCACATAAGGAACTTCAGTGGCTGCTAAGTCAGAATTTCCTTGATCTAATTTAAAATGTCGTGATCAACCCCTGTTGGAAAGAACTAAGATGTTATTTCATTCAAAGTAATCTTAAGGGAAAAACGATATCCTTTATTTTCGACAGAGGAAAACAATTTTATCTCTCCTCTAAAAAGAGAATGATCTGATTGCTACCAGCAAGGATTCCTCAGTGCTGGGTGGATGGCAACACGCGTACACACGTGGCGTCGCTCATCACTTCTCTGGTTACGTCCGCTGCCTGTTCCAGTGGCGTTTAAATAAAGTGTATCTGAGAGCAGTCTCCCGCAGATGGAAATTTTAAAGAGCTGCTAGTTCTGTGAAAACAAGATGTCTTCTCACAGAATATCACCAAGTTTAAAAGAGAGTTAGATGGCGGGGGGTGGGGGTTGAATATAGTTCAGTGGGAGAGTGGGTGCTTACCATGCACAAGGTCCGGGGTTCAATCCCCAGTGCCTCCACTTAAAAAATAAATAAGTCAATAAATAAATAAACTTAATTACTCCCTCACGTCCTCAAAAATAAAATAATAAAATAAAATAAAAGAGAAGTCATGCTAAAAAAAGAGAGAGAAAGAGAGAGAACCTTAGCCTAGCCCCACTACCTGTCTTTTCTTTATCGGTCCACTCTCATCCCAGCTACGAGCTCCAGCTCCACACGGCCTGCCCCCCGGATCCGGCCACCCCCTGCACTCCCGGCCGAGCAGAGACAAAGCACACGGGGCCCGGGCAGAGGGCCAGCGTCGGGGGCCTCCAGCCCTACACCAGCTACCAGCTGAGGCTGGTGGCCCACAACGAGGCGGGCAGCACAGCCTCTGAATGGACCAGCTTCGTGACCCAGAAAGAACGTGAGTAGAAGTGGCCGCCACACAAGCCAAAGGGGTAGAGGACAGCGTAGGGGAGGCCGGTCTGGAAAGGCCGGGGAGACGGTTAACTAAAGGGACAGCGTTTTCTGTTCCATTGACTGCTACTGAGACATCAGTGAGGGTGACTGTTGGGAAAAAAATGCCCATTGGCTCAAAAAATATGGAGATCAAGAGTGAATTTTGGAAAAGCATTCATGTAGCAATGAGATGAAAACCAACATAGAGAAAGTTAATTTATGGATAAGAGGAAAACAGACAAGCACTTGAGAGGAGTTCACAATGTTGTGTCAGTTTCTGGCGTAGAGCACAATGTTTCAGTCATACAGGAACATACATATATTGGCTTTCATATTCTTTTTTACCGTAAGCTACTACGAGATTTTGAATACAGTTCCCTGTGCTATACAGCATGAACCTGTTTATCTATTTTATGAATACCAGTCAGTATCTGCAAATCTGGAACTCCCAGTTTATCCCTTCCCCCCCCCTTCCTCTCTGCTAACCGTAAGTTTGTTTTCTATGTCTGTGAGAGGACTTTTTAAAGAAGTTTGTCACTCTTTTTCCTCTCAAATGGCACAGCGTGATCGCTAGCATTTCCAGAAGGAACTGGGGTGTGGCACTGTCAGGAAGAGCAAAAGGGCTGCCACCTGCAGAGAAGGGAAATCAACGAATTAATTAGGGCCTCCTTACATGTCAACAAAATAACTTCTTTTCATATTTTATAAGGTTTATATATCTACTGTTTAAAAATCGCAGCTGAAAAAAGGATTGAGAATAAAATAAGTACTTATAATCCAAACCAGCTATGTAAATTGTGGGGTCCACTGGAAAATGAAAATATGGAGCCCCTTGCTCAACAATCATTAAGATTTTCAAGACAATGACAGCAGAGCATCAAACTAAGGGTCTTCTACCTGGGCGGCCCTGTACAGCTGCACAGGTCGTGAAACCTGTCCTGTTTATAATTCTACCACACCCAGAGGCAACCACCGTGAATACTTTAGCATAGTTCATTCCTTTAATCCCTTTCCTTTGCAGAGTTTTTATTACATGGCTGAGATCATACTCCCAATGAAAATTCCACCATCTGCTTTTTATACTTGACATTATTTTTTTTGCATTAAAAACTCTCTAACCACCCAGGTTAATGGCTATATAATATTCCATCGTGTGAGTTAGTTGGGCTTTTCAGTTGTTCCTATTATTTTCCTTTTATAAATGCAGTGAGAAACGTCTTCATGACTAAATCTTTGTGAATGTCTGATTATCTTCCTGAGTTTCAACAAATGGAACTGACGACAGCAAGTATTTTGAGTGTGTTAAGGCTTTGGCTACTTACTGCAAATTTGCTCTCCAGAAACATGATATCAGATTATAATCTCACCTTCAGTATTCAGCACTGACATTTTTAGAAGTAAGAGTTTTACACTTGTGAAAATCTGGTGTCTCATACAAAGACCTTAATGTGTCAGAGAAACGACATGACAGGATATTAGCAGGGGGTCACATTTAGAGAGGACTTGCTCTTTCCTGGCACTGTTCAAGCATTTTACAAATAATCCTTACCACAAACCTGTGAAGTAAGTACCATTATTACCCAAGTTCACAGAAGAGAAAATTGAGGTGGGACTACGGACTGTGCCCTGGTGGGTGAGGCTAAGCCGTGATGCTCAGTTAGGTGAGGTGTGGTAAATGCATTTTCAACTTAGGATATTTTAAATTTATGATGAGTTTCTTGGGATGCAACTTGATCATAAGTCAAGGGAGATTTGTATATATATCTGTGTAATTATAAGCCGATTTTGCTAATTATTCCACGTTTTGTGCATGTGTAGCCAGAAGGCGAGGCCAAACGGCTGTGTGAGGTTTCCAGGTTATGACCAATTCTCTTTTCAGTCATGAAGCTTAGTTTTTGCCAGATATTTCCCCCTTATGCTGAAAGAACAAAATGAACGGGTTTAAGACGTCCTGCACTGGTTCTTCCTTGACACTGGAGAAGTGGCTGAAGGTTACAGTAGCACCAAAGGAGAAAGGATGGATCCACAGACATGGAAAACACAATCAATGACTGGCTATCGTATGAGGGTTAAATACCACTTATGCTCATTTTAACTTATTATACAAACTAGCAGAGAGTAGATGTGGATCAGAGAATACAAATCAGAATATGCTTTGAAAATAGTATTTGCAATTTTCTATAAATGTGGTCACATATACACTGAGAAAAGGGTCTGGAGAAGCATCAGCAATGTATTCTGCCCTCTCTGCCTGAGCCACACCTTCTGTGGATGAGCAGGGGTAAGGTGTAAATGTTTTAACAACTGGCCTCCTTGAGAGAAAAATGTCCTGGTTCAAAGTTCTTGCCAATTTCCACGGTGTAAATACTCCCACCTGGCTGAGTTCAAAGTTGCCAACATGACAGCACTGAACACCGAGTTGGGAAGAGGTAATGCCCATTATATAATATTTCCACCATCCAGATACAATAGATGCTAGTGGCCTGAAGAGCTTAGATAATAATAAAATGTAGGGAAAAAATAAAGAAGTTACAAAGTTTTAATATTTATTACCTTTGTTTTAATATACTTTGTGTAGATTTACATGATTTAATTTTTAATAGTGCCTGGGTTTAATAACCGACTCACAGAATTCCCGAATATTTAACCAATAGGATGGAGCATACCCATAAAAGTGAATTAGTAAATCATGCTCCTTTAAATAAAGTGTACTAATTGTAACAAAAGAACACGGGCTTTGGAGTTAAGCAGACCCGGGTTCAGATCCTTGGTCTCCTACCAGCTGTTGACATTAAGCAAGTTATTTGATCTTTCTGAACCTTAGTCTCCTCATCTGAAAAATTAGGAACTCTTTCAACACTGTTTTGAGAATTAAATGAAGCAAAGCACATCACGTACTTCATTGTACTTTACTGCCTTATCAGCATAGTAGCTGCTACCATTTTCTCAGTTTCCAGATCCTTTATTCCTGATTATTTTGGTTGTTAGATCACTCTTTTACCTCGAGAAGATCTCCAAATCCTGCCAGGCAAATAAAGCCGCTATCTTTCTACTTTTGTGCTGTTTACAAGCATTTTCTTTGTACTGTTATGATGTTGGGGAGATGTGGAAATCTACTGAAATTAACAGAGTGAAGCCACACAAACACAACAGTATGTTCCATTGTGATATTAGGCAAAATAAATTTGTGTTAGAAAATCAGGTATTTAAAGAGAGCTCGGTAGCTCTTGTTTCAGTATTTGCAGAAAATTTTTCCTATGGCTTTATGAAAGTACCTTATTTTGAAAGCTAAGAATCAAATTTGTCTTCGTGGTTGAATCTTACGATCACCAAGAACATAATTATTCCTTACTTTGTTATATTTTCTAACATCAGCAACCGATGGATTTAATTTTTAGGGGAAAAAAATACCCAATTTATTTCCACCACTCACTTTTTTCCTTTCTTAAAAGCCAATTTCATACATAGATGGATCTTAATGCTGTTACAAATGTATTGATTATTTTGGAGAAGATGAGATCTCACGAAATAAATCTCTTCTGACTTGACAAGATGATATGATATCCCATCATCTGTTTCTACAAAAATTGCTCATTTAAAAGATGAGCCTCAGTTAAGGATTGTTCTTCCTTTGTTTCAGTAAGGAGCTGAAAAATGAAAAGAGAGCCTTCCTGCTAAATGCACACAAAGTTGCTCCTCTGTCTGATATAATACTTAGGAGACCTGAGCTTGATTATATACTAATGTACTGTACTATTGATTGATTAGTCAGGGCAATGAATTATTATACGTGAGTTGCTGTTTGCAAGGCTTTTTAACTATCGTAGAAAACAAACTAACGGTTCCTAACGGTTCAAGAAAAAGCTTTACAAATAAATGGGTGCCAAAAGAACATAATTCACCATCTAAGCAGTTTGGTTTGGAGAAAAAAAAATATATGAACTTCATCTAGTCCTTGGGGCTTTGTGGCAATAAATATTGATTTGATATGAAAAATAGCCATCCACCGTAGTTAATAGTGTTAAGGATACTTTACCTGTTAAAAAAAGGAAAATGCAACAAAATATGAGCCCCAGGGTTAGGCTGGTGAGCAGAACCATTGTATGTTAATAGTTGTATTTCATAAAACACCAGTCTCCATTGATTTTTTTTTTTTTTGGAAGGCAGGTGCAATATTGCTGAGAAAGCATTTTACACATGTTCCCGTTGGTTCTTCTCACCCCCCAAGGCCAGGTTTTTCTTTAAGCAGCAAGAAATATATGAAGGGTTTCAGCAAGACCAAAAATGTTTTTGCTCATTTTTTAAAAATAAAAAGCACACACGCACACCACCATTTTTAGAACTTACAACCGTTTTTCAACTGTGTTTCGAACTCGCGTCCTTCTCGCCGCAGCGCCCCAGTACCGCGCGCCGGTCTCGGTGGACGGCAATCTGTCGGTGGTGTGTGTCAGCTGGAGCGGCTCCTTCCGGCTGAACGGCCGGCTGCGGGAGTTCGTCCTGACGGATGCGGGGCAGCGCGTGTACAGCGGCCTGGACACCGCCCTCTGCATACCGAGGACCGCGGACAAAAGTGAGTTTCCGCCTCCGCGCCTCAGTGCGCAGGGAGCTGTGGCTCCCGCTCTCCGAGATGCGCGGTCCGCGTGAGAGGTGGCCGGCAGATGTTCGCCACTGACGTGTCCTGGGTTAAGTGGTCACTTCTGGCGGGGAAGTTACTGCCCGGCGTAAATCAGGTTTTCCGGCGGGATTGTGCCGGATGCGCTATGTTTCCAATGCGGTCCGCGGAGCGCTGCCTCCGCTGACTGGGGGTCCCCAGGCGGGAACAAGACCCCAGGGCTGGTTGTGTTCACTGAGAAACAGCACCCCCAGGCCATGAGTATCCCGAAACAGTACACTTTCAGGGACTTGAGAGGTTTTCCTGATGCATCCCCAGCCTCCAGACTGAGCTCAATCAGGCCACGACCGGCTGCAAATCCTAAGGACTCCGAGTTAAGGGCTTTCCTTCACCCACCTCGGCATCTGTTCTTGAAATAATTCTCTTCCCTCTAAAACTGAATTCTTTCTCCCTGTTTAATTTCACATCCTTCTTCTGTTTGTCTTGTTTTTAAATTGAAATGAGAAAAACCTTTGCAAGGTACTAAGTATTTTCTGCCATCAGCGTGGCCATAGGACCAATAGATGGGAGGCCATTTTAAGCAATCTAAACTTTTACAGTGAATTAATCATTTACCTTTTTTTTCCCCCTTGAAAATTTGTACTATTTATTTTGGTTAAAAGATTCAGGTAAATAGTGAGCTCCAGCATTGATTGCATTTTTAGTATTTGAAACTTATCAATAACATTTTCACAACCATTCAGCTACACATTTTCATGATCAGAGTTCTTGGTCATCTGGACAGCTTGTTGGGATGGGGAGGTGTCCTGGCAGTTGTGAGATCCCAGTTCCACTCCTGGCCAGGCCTGTAACCATCTCTGTGACCTTACAAGACTCCCTTCCCTCGGGGTCCTGGCTATTGTGAGAGTCATTTAGACCACTGGCTTTCCAAGATCCCTTTTGAGCTCTCCTGCCTAGTGAAAAAAACTCTGGGTCACCAGGAACACCTGTATGTTTTAAAGGAACAGGTTTAGATCAGATGCAGAACAAGATACACTACATGTATCATCCCTTACTCTGATAATTCTTTCCCTTTGCTATATAGTCTCTAAACTTATTTAGTTGTTACTTATGTACACACGCTGTCATTACACTAATAAAAGCTGTTTTCCATGATAGTTTTTAAGTTAGAAATAAGTTTGCATATTAGGTGAAAACTTACAACTTGCTGGGGAATCCTATGTCCAGATGTTTTTCATGCTATAATACATTGCTTTTCTAACACTGTGCCCTCTACTTGTAGGTGTTGAAAAGCTGAATCATTTACCTTTTCTGTAGCTTTCTTTTTCCAGGTCACCTGCACTACAGATGAAGGAAGCGTTAAGACACCTTTGGTCCAATATGATACCTCTACTGGATTCGGTAAACATTTAACTTGAATTATATTTAGTGTAGCATCTACTCATTTTCCTAAAGAAAGTTGCGTATGTTTGTTTATACAGACATACATCTTAGCAAAGACCATATGGAAGAAATTGTTTTAAGTATCATATGAAATTTTTTTAAGTCCTCATGAAACTTACATTAGGCCTGGAATTAAGATATACTCTTAAAATGCCATATCATTGAATTGTAGATGCAGGGAGACATGACTAAGCTTCTAAGGACAAATTGTAGCAATAAAAAACTTTGTGAATTTATTTACCAGAAAAAAAAAAGTGAATTTATAGAGCAAGTCAGAGGAAAGAGATCAGAAGAAAAGATAAAATACTCTAATGCCAATTTGTGTTGATCAGAACAATAATATTCCAGATTCAGAGCCTAAAATGGTAAACTTGGGAAATTTCTGTCCCGTAGCCTCTATAAGAGATTATGATTGACTGTTAATACCAAGTAATTTAGCCAAAATGATGAAACTGCAATTTTTACAAAGCATCTTTTAAATTGAGTTCTACCCATAATCTTTGAATCTAACATACGCAGTAGTTTACAGTTTCAATGGGCAAATTAGAGAAATGCCAGATCTCTTTCCCAGGCCTCTGGCAGAAATTCAGAATCAAAAGGGTCCAAGAATCTGCTCTTTAAAGGATTCCTGCCCAGTGATTCTGATGCAAGGGCGGGACCACACAATGAACAAAAGCACAGAACCTAGACTGACCCACCTGTTCAATCTCACCAGTCCCCACTCCTTGGTCCAGGGGAAGTATGCCTTCCCTGGAGACAGGCAATTAACAGGAAGCGGTTTACAATGACTCCAGTTCTATGCTGGGTTTTCCTTTAGAATCAAGGTCCAACCAGGGGAATTCTCTACCCTGATGGTGAACCTCTCCCTTGATGAGTGGGGTCCCTTAAAATAAAAGTTCTTTGCAAACAAAAAAGGGATAAAGAGACACCATCCTGTCCTGATTTCAAGCTTTTCGTAACACAGGAGAAATTTCCTGTCAGTCCATGAATACAAAGTGGTTTCATTGCTGAGAGAAGGAGCACCGAGGACTGTGTGAAGTTATGGAAAATTCCAAGATGTACTGTCTGACTAATATCCATAGTCACTTTTAATTTTTCTGATATAACTTTTTAAATGTTTCTGTTCCCTTGCCTGAAGGCAGCCTTCAAGCAGGCAAGTCAGGCAGACCTCATTTCTCTGCGACTGTTCGGAGGGTTCTTTTTCCCTTTTGAGGCTTCCCCTGGGCAGGCTGCCTTCATTCCACTGTGTCCTCCGGGGCAAGGGATCCACTAGGCCCGTCAGATCAGTTTCTGGAGCTACAGCCCTGTGCCCCACATGGAGAAAACTCTCCTAGTGCATAACCAAAAATTGTGGGGATTTAAAAAAAATCAAACACCACACATTGCTTCCTAATTAGAAGAATGCCGATCTCCTGAAAGTGGATGAGAACTTTGACGCCAACCCTCCATTTTAGAGATGAAGCAACGCAGACCCCGAGAAGCCCGGACTTTTCAAGGACAGAGCTATGAGAAGTAGAGTTAAGGTTATAACGGACGGTATCCCTCCGCTCATGGGGCTCAAACTTCAGTTTTAGTCACTTTCTCTCCCTCCCTTAACATCCTCACCCCAGCGCTGAGCATGTCCCCTTTAATCCTCCCCTTGAGAATGTGGCTGTGAAGCGCCAAGCACGCCATCCTGTGCTCAAGGTGCTGGAAAGGGGGACGAAGGTCCGTGGAGCCAGGAGGCGTTTGCGGCTGTCTGTCTGTCTGTCTGTCTGCCCGCCCGTCTTCCGCACTGGCTTTAGAAGAGCCCCTTCCTGCCCTCCAGGGTCTGCCGGCCTGCAGGGCGGCCCCGTGGATCCAGGGCTTCTGAGCTGGGCCCGGCAAGGGGCCGGGCTGCTGGAGATGGTGTCTGAGACCCTCTCCCGCTCGGATGGCCAGGCTGACGGCCTGATGTCCCGGCTGTACGCTGGCCGGCAGTGGTCCCGTAAGCCTTGCCACGTCTGTTTGGCTCATTTCAGCTTCCCCACGTCCGCAGACTTCACAGTCCTGGTACTCCCCATCCTTCGGTCCTCCATCCCTGGAAAGCCCTTATTAGCACAGGGCCTGGCACAGGGGAAGTGCTCGTCCAGCCTGAGCCACTTTTGTCAGCCTCCTGTGCAGAGAATCACATTGAACTCTCAACGCTTGAAATAGAAATCAAAGGTTCCCGGTCCTACTGCTGAAGGATTTCTGTCCGCAGGAAGCTCTCCCAGGGCATCTGAGCGGTGCCTTGCAGAACTTTTGCTGCTTTTCAGGGAGGCTGGAGTACAAGAGGTGTAAAGGCCACGTGTTAGCAAGCGCAGGCTGTTAGCATCACAGTGGGAGATGGGGTCTGATGTCTCAAAATCCAGTTTGCACACAGCTTCTCAGGAACAGGGCTGTTGCATGAAATGAGGGGACCCTGGGTCACACAGCACTGACTGTGTGTGTGATGGGGTCTCTGCGGCAATGCTGGTATGGGCTCCGGCCCCTCACGTGAGCCCAGAAAGGACTTTGCTCCCAGGGCACACTGCTGTGAAGTAGGCATTCCTTGAAGTTACTTTGGTAACCCTCTTAAAAATCCCTTTGCCCCCTCCCCCCACAACTGTCTTTCCCAGGAACGTGCCAAGGCAGCGTCTCCTTACCACCCACTGACCCTGCGACACCATTTCCCCAGCCTGAACCCAAGGACAGCCAAGCACTATGGGACAAACTGCTTTAAACACCTTTCTAATTGACTATCAGACAACAGCGGGAAGAGATCACAAAACTGCCTTCGGAAATAACGTTTCTGTCCTGGGTTTTGCAGGCCTGGTGCTGACAACTCCTGGAGGAAAGAAAGGATTGGGGAGCAAAAATACAGAATTCTACAGCGAGCTGTGGTTCATAGTGTTGATGGCAATGCTGGGCTTGATCTTGCTGGCCATTTTTCTGTCCCTGATACTACAAAGGAAAATCCACAAAGAGCCGTACATCAGAGAGCGGCCTCCCTTAGAACCTCTTCAGAAGAGGATGTCGCCGCTGAATGTCTACCCGCCGGCGGGGACCCACATGGTACGTCTGTGAAGGCAGCTCCGTTCCCCTATCCCTGGACTAAAATGTTTGGTTTTATTTAGAGGGAGGTATTTTCAGAGCCACAGCAACAAGGGAGTAGATGACAGCTGTGTTTGGTAAAAGGAGGTTCACCCTAGAACAGCATTCTCAGCTTTGGCTGCACATTAGAATCACCTGGTGCTACAGACTGAATGCTTGTGCCCCCCCCATTCATATGTTGAAACCCTGACCTGAAATGTGGTAGTATTGGGTGCTAGGCCCTTTGGGAGCTGGTTAGGCTGTGAGGGTGGAGCCCCTGTGAATGGAATTAGTGCCCTTATGGAAGAGACTCCAGCGAGCTCTCTGGCCCTTCAGCCCTGTAAGGACCATGAAGCAGATCCCCACCAGACACCCAGTCTGTCAGCACCTTGATCTCGGACTTCCCAGCCTCCAGAACTTAGGAAATAAATGTCTGTCGTCTCTAAGCCACTACGGTGTTCTGCTATAGTAGCCCTACACCTGGGAGACTTTATGAAACACCCATGCCTGGGCCTTACATGCAGTCCCAGGAACCTTACTCCGGGAGCAGTGGCGCCCAGGACTCAGGCCAGGGATCGGTGAGCATTTCCGTCCCTTGACACACGCCCCCCAGCAGGCCTGTCTGCCTCGTCATCCTTCCTGAGGAGGAGCCCAGTCTGGCCCACTTGGTTAGCTTGGATTAAGAAGCTAGCACACCAGTCCTGTGGGAAGGTTCCTCTGGACCATTCCTTGCTCAGAGCCTTGTCGCTTTGTTTTGTCAAAGTGAGGCCCATGAGCTACCAGTATCAGCATCACGTAGGAGCCAGACCTGAATCTTTGAGGAAGAAACCCAAGAATCTGCCATTTCAACCAGCACGCGGGAGGTCTGATGCACAGTAAAGTTTGGGAACAGCCCTAAATGAATGAAAGGGCAGTACAGTTCCTGCAAACAATGTGTCCAGTCCCATAATCAGTGAAAACTGGGGCGGGGCGCTTACTGCATGATGGCACTCATATGAGATACTGAAAGCAGTCAAACTCGGGGAGGCAGAGAATAGAACGGTGGTTGCTAGGGGTGGGGAGAGGGGACGGGGGAGTTACTAATGGACAGGTGTACAGTTCCAGTTCTGGAAGGTGAGGAAGTCCTGCTGTACCACACTGCAGAGAGCAGTGCTGTATTGTCACTTAACTGTCTGTTTGGAGGGTAGATCTCTTACTACGATAAAAAACAAACAGGTGGGGGCTGCTGGTGAGTCCTTGCAGTCGAGACCAGACCTGGTCTGAGCTCTCTGGGGGGCCAGACACAGGCCTGAGCAGAGCAATGAATTGAAACACCCTCCCCTTCCACTCCCCTGACCATCTGAGCAAAGCAGAGTGGCGCCCACATGGGGGACTTCTGTTGAGTGGCCAAGACTGTGTGACATGTGAAGAGGGGACAGGCTGGTGGCCAGGGGCCCTGGACCCAGAGAACTGGCCCATTGTCAGTGGTGAGGGTGCTACTTAGCAGCACCAGAGGGTTCACAGCAGTGAAATCTGGGGTGTACCAGGGTGCCGGGCAGTGTTCCCCAGAACCCACTGATTCACAATTTAATTCGACCCAGTTGGCACAATATACTTGCAAGCCTGTTTTTATAAAACCTGTTTGAGATGACAGTGTTCTCACAAAGTTGGAGACGTGCACGAAAATTAGCAAAGGTTAGTCAAACTAAAGAGAATCCAATTTGCACTAGATGAGCAAAACAAAATGCTGATGTGAATGTCCCTGGGCTCCAGAATCAGCAGGTGAGAATCCGAACAGGGGCAAGCCTGCAGTCACTGAGTTCCCCAGACTGACACTCTTTTCGCTTGAGTCAGTCAGCGCTAGCTACCCTTGCAACACACACACACACACACACACACACACACACACACACACACACACCACC